ATTGGCTTGGGATTGCGGTCATGTTCGGATCCAAAGGTCCCAGGTTCGAGTCCGTAACAGTAATCATGTGAATGGAGTGGGGGGGCAGTTCGCCGGTCTATGTGTACGTAGACAGATGTACATCACTGAATGCTCGGTCGGTCCAGCGGCTGCCGCCTAATGGCTGTCGCCCAATGGTTTTGCTCTGTAGGGTAGATAGAGTGGATGTCGCTGTTGCTGCGCACTTGGTTTTGTTTGTATAAAAATGACATCTCTTGATAGCTTCTACTTAGGCGGGTGATGATCGTCTGCCGTATTCACACTGGGCTGTCCCGACCAGGAAGGAACGAACATTGGCCAGTTCTCTTCTCTTGAGCCAGAAGCGCCGGTCTGTTTCTTGAGGGTTGTGCTTCGGTCCCCCCTAAAGCGAACGGCCAAGTCTCCCATTCTCTGTTTGTAGTCATCTATGGTCGTCGCTGAGGCAACACCCATGTTTGTGCCCCTCCTGAAAGCCTGTTCATCAATGCGGTCCCTAGCTATTTGCCACGCGCTAGGCAAGACCGCCTCCGGATTGCATTGTTGCATCATTAATTGGTACAGCGACCTGCATCACCTGCTTCCCAGGACGTTTCAGGAGAAGCATTAGAAAGAACTTCAGGTCTTCAATTCTAGTGGCCTTCGTTGGCGGAAACGTAATGTGCTCGTCCCATCGCCCATGGTAATGGACCTATTTGCGGATACTATTCCCTAGCTCCTTCGAAACACCACATGTCTCCGGGTGTATTTGAGCCACTTGGCCGACGGCATGCAGAGAGCGAGCAACTGCAGAGAGAACTTCTTTACACAACCTCCCGTCTCTCAGAACATCCGCCTGCAACGCCTCCAGCTTTTCTGTTGACAGATCCACATGCTCGACGTCGGGTTTCCGATTACGAGGTCCGGGACTTGTTCTAGAAGCTTCAAACCTTTTGCCATCAATTTGGACCCTGTGTCACAACGTGAAAAAGACGCCAAGGCCTTCACCATATTTACTGGTCACGATCCACCTCACACGTCAATGTGGCACTTGCCAACAACGCACTTGTTCCCACATCAACACTCCCCGCGACCGCCGCGTACTCCACGACCACCACGCCCGCCGCCGCGTCCTCCGCCGCGTCCGCCTCTGGCTAAAACAAAACCATTTGCCCCCACAAGGAAACCATCACAGAAACCAGCACGTCTCGTTATGATAACTAACTACAAATATGTTGAGATCATACAGTTCCTTTAGCCCGTCTGCACGCTGCGGGCCTCGGGCGGGCGGGCTGCAACTGCGGCTCGGTCGCTTGCCCCCCCCCGCTTCCCCCTGTGGGACGCCCCCATGCGGGCAGTCTCACGGCGACGCCCCCAATAGGGGCATCTGGATGGAGACACTTCCATGGGGGTAGGGGTCAGGATTGTAGTTTACGGAGTAGGAGGTCGCACTGGGTCATGACGTGGGGGGGCGGGTTGTAGGGTGCATGACTGCCGTAGATGTCTTGTACAAGCCTGAGAAGCTTGTGTCTGATGGCTCTGTTGATTTCAACGGTGAAGTTGAGGCCGTGGGCCATGGTGGCGAGTAGGTCGGATAGTCGGTTGGCGAAGTTTGGGGAGAAGGGAGCGTGACAGAG